ATGTGAATGAGCAGAATACACAGCAAATTAATAAAAGGGTTTTTTTGTCGGGACAAGGAGTTTGTTTTATGCTCTTGGGAAGCCTGGGTGAGAACACGCATCTTATATTTGCATCGGTAGATCAGGCTGCAAACCTTCCCTGCTCCCAACGGCTGACAGCTAGCGACTGCATCTGATTGATTGATTGATTGATTGATTTAATTTGCATGCCGCCCACTCTCAAAGGGACTCAGGGCGGCTAATAAAGCCCCCTTCCAATGGCTTTGCTCTGGGGGGGGGTCTCCAAGGAGAGGGCAGCACCAGCTCCCTCCCACCCTGCAGAGCCCCAATCTCTTCGGCCTCCCCACTTCTGCCAGTTCTCCTTCCCCAAGTGGGCTCTGGAAACGTTATTACGTGTCTAGGAATAATCTTAGGGGGTTTATTGCCACAACATTTTCCAACCATGAACTATACTTTTTTTTTATTTCCAAGGGCTCCTGAAAAGTAAATGAGGAACTTATTCTGCATGAAGTTTTGGAAGCTTCTTGTTTTTTCTCTCTCCAAACGTTCAGAGTCAAAATCTAACTCAACTTGTTGTGCTAAATGTCCACTCCACCCTTTCACAGAGTCACAACAACATGTGTTTATTGACCTCACGGTTGCATATAAATAGGGACGTTTATTGCTGAATGCAGGCTTACTCAGAGGCTCCTTAACAGAGAACTTGTTGAGTGAAAGCACACCGGGGATGGACTTGACTCGGGAACAGGTTGTATTTCCAAGTAACCACGGACAGGTTCTCTACTCAGAGGCCCATCATGATCCCAGGATCTGATTTCCAAGGAGAAGTACTAATTAGGAAGCTGCAGAGTGGAGGCCATTGTTGTGGGTGTCAGGCGTGCCTCCTTCAGCGTCCAAGAAAGAAAACCCCCAATTCCATTTAATTAGAGCAGTGGTTCCCAAACTTGGCAACTTTAAGACTTGTGGACTTTAACTCCCAGAATTCTCCAGCCAGCAGAGCAGGCTGGAGAATTCTAGGAGTTGAAGTCCACAAGTCTTAAAGTTGCCAAGTTTGGGAACCACTGAATTAGAGAAAAAGGTACTTTTGCTGGACATGAATTGAAAACAGCAAAAGTGAAGCGAGATCTGAAGCAAAAAAAGTGCAAACTTGCACATATCAAATATTTACCCAAATCCCTCCCCTCAGACACCCCGACCCAATGTCCAATCTCCAACCCCCCCCCAAGGGTGTCCTGTGGGGCGCATCTTCAGGTGGCATCCTTCAGCTAGTAAGCAAAGACAGTTGGCCTTGACCAAACCTAGACACGAGCCATCAGGCAGAAGGTGGTGAGAACAAAACTCCCTTTTCCGAGCTATCTCCATCGACATGTTTCCCCTCCCAAATACCACGAGCCCCCCCACCCTCCCCGTTACTATGGCAGCCGATAGCAAGCATGTGAGTATAGAGGCTGATACTGGGTCCCCCCCCCACCAGCATCTGATGACAAACTTTATTTAACCCACCCTCTTCTGAGCCGAGGTGGCGCAGTGGTTAGGGTGCAGTACTGCAGGCCACTTCAGCTGACTGCTATCTGCAGTTCGG